TTTTTTTTGCCGGGTCCCCATCGCCTTCTTTCCCGCTATTTGCAATCTCCATCACTTTTCTCATCTCTTTGAAACTTTCAAACATTTGACGATCACACTGTTTCATTTGTCTGTAGGCAGTTCACATGTAACATTTTGTGGAATTTCATTGTAAAATCTCTAATGCTAAAGAAGAGACTGAGAATCTTCTTTCTACATAATAACGTATCAATTCTGTTATCAAAATAATGCAAAGTACTACTCAAAAATGCAAAATTGAAGTCACATTATCGCAACATTCGGCTGCAGAAGCACGTTTCTTCGGTGTTATTTTCTGGAATGGGATGCCCTCGTTTTTGGGATGATTGCAAATCGAACTCTCATAATTGTTTTCAGGTTCGGTGGAGCCTGCAAATACATACATAGATCGTCTCTTATATCAAACAATTTACATCAGCAAATGGTGTGTACTTAGTAAAAGATTTGAATGATGCAGAATCTGAAAGTGTTCGGTCGTTCCTAGCGATAGCAGTTAACCAGCGAATCATCAGTCTTAGCATTAGAACGCCGCAACTGAGCAACATCTTCTTCATATGCACAGTTGGGCAACGATAGAAAACATTGAAATTATGAGAACACGCTCATATTAGCGATAATGCTTACAATTAGCAGCGATGGTAACCGATCTGGGTTCGATCGATGAAATTCATCCGAACGTTTCGCTGGAAATTTTTTTTCGGACTTTCGATAATTGCCGAAGTTCGATCGTTTTCGAAAAGCGAAAAAAAAAAGAATTCGGTCGGATTCTGACCGAAGACTTGCAAAAAAGGAAGCAACACGGCGTGATGAATGACATCACAACAACAGAATTACAAGTTAATGATGGCTTGCAAGCTGTTGCTTTCCGTCATCATACATACCTGAATATCAGTCATTTCGAAATTGACTTCGATACTATTAGTTGTATCTACATTGTCAGTATCAATGAATGAGTATCACTGCTATGAATATTATGATTGATACGATGCAACCTGGATTTACGAAGTTAATTCAGGTTGCACCGTATCATAATCATAATTCGTTTTTTCGTGAGCCGAAGTATGCAATTTCTAAAACGTGTTCTTCGTTCGGTTACCATCACCAGTGGTTGATTGGCATTGAAAGCGCTGTTCGATCGGGGCTAGAAATTCTGGCGTGCTACGTTTAAATATTACAATCGAGTGTGATAGTGTAATGAGGTGGTTGGTTGTTTGGATGGATGAATGGATGAGTTCGTTCGTGTTTTGAATGTTACTCAATTGTGATCGATTATTAAGATTTCGATTGATATCGATAGGTGCGACGATACAACAAACGAAATGAAGAAGAAAGCCGCGAAAAGGCAACGTGAAATTTCGGAACTTGTTCAAAGCCGCATGCAACATCTTGGCATGACTAACAGTCATTACAGTCAGTTATCGCAACTTGTAATATCAATAATCATAAACTTTGCTTATTCGATGATTGAATAGATGGATGTTTCACACGAAATTATCGAAGAGAGCAACTTAACATGATGAGAACTTACATTCCGTTTGGAAGTAAAATTTTCATATAGTGATATTCTGTGTCATTGGGAAACATGGTTCTCTCTCGATTCATTCTAAAAAAGGACGAATTGAACTATAATCGAGTTTCGGTTAGGCTATTAAAACATTCATTTTCTTGTAGTTCATAATCGATGCAAAGAATAAAACCATTCGTAAAGCGTGAATCTACTTATAATTAGGAAGTTCAAAATATTGACTGATCGATATCTGATATTATAGTATATGATGAGAGGCGAGCGACAATATCATTCGTAATCATCAACCCGTCGTCTGATATCGACCTGGAAGCCGGCGATATCATGTGAGTTGATCGTTATTGCAAGTTGACGATCCTTCATTCTTTAGTCTCCCATATCTCAGAAGAATCTTTTCCTAATGAAGCTAGATAAAATATTGCATGTTCCTGAGCAGCTGGCTTTCCGAGGTTCTGTTGCACCTTTAGCTCATCAATGCACAACAATGGATTAAAAGGTTTTAATGATGAAGACTGTGGTTCAGATATGTGCTTCGGGCACCACTTTCTGAGGGTGCAAGTCGGAAACGTGTAAATCCCCGTCGTGGTTTACGTCGAAAAGATCTAACACCATCGCAAGAAGAACATAAACTCAGCCCACAAACGCATTTGCTCAACACTGGACTCGAAGATCCACAAAGCCTACCGGAGTAATCCAGTAAACTTCCAATTCGTTTCGTCATTTTCACAAAACCTTCTTCATTCGAACATTTCCAAAAAACTCTCATCAAATACATTGCAGACAGTCAGATATGAGAAATTCATCGTTTTGATAGAATCAGAAAGAAACATTTCGATGAGTTACGTGCACAATAGTCTATACGTGAAATTGGCATTCTTCGGATGCACTAATGCTGCATTTTTTGTTCGTGAATGAATGAACGGGCAATTCACCTGAAAAGTCGTGCTGTGTTTCGTTTAGAAAAGGATTTTCCGGGAGTTTGATTCGATTTGAGCCAGAATTTACCGTTTAGAAATAACTGAATGTCTCATCGAGCGGAACTGACTGAATATCATTTTATCGACTCAAAAATATCAACGACTGGCAAAAAATAATAATAAAACAACAACAACAACAACAGCACATATTATCAAAACATACATTTACAGTGAGACAAATACAGTAATTACGAAAAAATTTGCATCAATTATAATACAATCACAATATCGGTAATGTTAGTAGAATGCTGTCAGTGTAATGATGTCGGTCAGGAATCAGACTCGATAAGATTTATTCAATAGCAATTTCATAGAAAGAGCAATGATTTGTGAAATAATTGGCAACAAGAATAGGAATTCTTTTGGGCACAACGTTGTTTGTGGCTGATAATTTAACGAATTATAAAGACGAATCGCATCATTTGTAGGAGAAATTACTTGAGAGATTGCAAAGCGGATGAAATTCTAGACTGAGATCATAGAGATGAACTGTTCACACAAGACGGAAAAGCTTTCGCTTGAACCAATCCAAGCGCACACCGTTGTTTTGAAATTTTCAAATGGAATACCAAAGAATACAACAATGCATTAGTTGTGAGGGAGGCACGAATAGAGACAAATAATATTCATC